GAATAGAACATTTATAGACGGTAATCCAAACATGGGTCAGCTTTTCAATACCGGACATAAAATAAAATTAAAATCGTATTCGTGACTCAAAGACACGATTACAATTTTTATCGTAAATTGTAATTACTTGCACTCGTTAAATTTTTAGTAGCGAAACAGGTTCGAACACTGAATGCAATGCGAACAAAGTGCAATTAATATAAGAACTCCCTTCCTTAATAGATTTTTTATAATCGTCGTTGGACAGCAGATCTAATTTTTAGGTTTACGGCTACTAATGTGCGACTCCGTAGCCTTGTCATTTTGAACCAATCCGGAAGACAAGGAAACTCTTGGATCAGCAGCCCCAAGGATAGGATTTTTTATGAAAACGAGGAGGACTTTGTGACTCGACAGATTTAACGTGCATCAGACACCATTTACTACAAGTTGAGTCTTTGGGCCGATGGGGATCGAATCCACGCTCGCTTGGATATGGGTCCAGTGCCCTACCAACCAGGCTATCCCGGACCTTTCTTTATAGGTTGCATACAAATCATGCTTTAAATCCGTTGAACTCAGTGGTCGGAATTAGCGCTCTTATAAGTTGTGAAACTACTGTAGTCACTACTTTTTTTTTCGTAGTTTGAAGTGTAAGAGTGTTACTTTTTTTTAACAAAAAAAAAAAATGGTGTAGTGAGTAGTGTGATACAAAAAAAAAGAAGAAACAGTAGTTCGTAGCGATTCCAGCCAGCTATTTTTTAACCTACTTCACTACTTTTAACTTTTAAAGAAACACGATTCGAACGAAACTAATTTTTCGAATTCGATTGGTACAAATCTTCGCACAATGGATGCACTGTGGGCCAGAAGACCATGCTCTTTGGCCAAAAGTCAAAAATTTACATTTTCAACGAAAATATGTGTATGTAAATTTTTGATAAAGTAATTTTACTAGCTAACTATCTAAAAGATTTGTGTTTTTCTGATTAAATTCTTTGTAATCACCACCATTGTAAAAGTTAGTTAATTTTCTTGATAAGATTTTAAATTCTACTAAGGCTTATTCCTCATTGTTAGGGAACATTACATAAGTATAATTTTCTTTTTATCGACAGAAAATTTTTGCAGCTGAAATGGCCTGTCAACGAAGAGACCATGTCACCTATCGACCACATCTCCCAGATTCATTATATACTGTCTTTTTTTCCTTGCTACCCTTCCTTCAATCACTCCCTACATGATTCACAATAGTTATTGCTTTTGCGATGCTGATTTATAATATTGTACATTAAAAATTAATCTTAGAAATAAATGTGTTAAATATGACTAGAAAAGCATTGTGTAATATACAACTTAAATGTGTAAAATACAATTAGAACACCAAATGTCAAAAATGTTTCATTTTTGCAACGTGATGTGAATAGAGGAGTGGGCAATTTTCAAATAAAATGCTTCTTTTATGGCAACTTCAACATACCATTAAGATTCTGCATTAGGCTAAGTTTAAAAAATTTCGACGATGACCTTGTCGATGAAATGGCTTGTCGACCCTTAATAATCCAGATTCAGAGCGATATTGTCGCAGAGCGTTAGATAGTTTTTGAAGAAAAAATTTTAAACTTGTTCAAAAGATAACATAAATTCAAAAGATGTCTTATTATGATAGGAAAGAAATACTCATGATTTTTCTCTTCTCATTTGAGACGAATGAAAAATAAAGAACAATCAAGTAAAAAAGTTCTGTTTTTCTTTTCTCCGGAAATTTTCGAAATATTTTTTTTCCCCATCCTGATTTGTAATCAAATGATGTCTTTCTCGTGTATAGAAGGGAAAAGAAATAAATGCTCGCGATTTTTTCATTTTCATTTGTTTATAATGAAAAATAAAGAATAATGAAGTAAAAAATTTTAATTTTCTTTCAGCAGAAATTTTCGAAAGATATTTTTTACTTTGTGGAACTAGTTTCAAAAAATGTCTTTCTTGCCCATCAAAGGGAAAAGAAATAATCCTTATTTTTCTATTCTTATTTGAGAAAAAAGAAATTCGATTACAGCTTCAGGTAGAATTCCAACTAGATAATATTTTTAAAAAAAAAAGAAATTCGAAATCACGAAAGTTTAAAAAATAAGTTTGCTCTAGAAATCATGTTCTTTCATTTTTATATTTTATTTTCATAAAGCACTCCATATTGTACATTTAAATAAAATCTGGGGATTTTGTTACCATTTCAGATTTGTTGCAAGATAATTAATTAATACATGTGTGCTTATTCCATCGTAAACATGTGTATTGTTTTGATCATTGTTCACTTGTTTTTTTTAAATTTATACTCTTGTGATTTTTCTTAAAAAAAATTATTACGACACGCTGAAACTTAAAATCACAGATTCAGAAAACACGCTCGGTTTGTGCAGATATCCTCGTTAATCTGTGCGGGTTTCAATTGTTCTTTAGATTATTATAAATTGTTTGCTAGGAATTTTCCCTGTTTTTTTTTAAAAAAAAAACTAATCCCGTTGCTTTTTAACTGATTTGAAAGAAGAAAAAAAAGAAACCTCGAATCACTTATCACCAATCGCAAAACTCAAATTACTTATTTTTTTAAAAACTATTTGTAATGTGATAAATTTCATTTTTTTTCATTGCTGGTGCTCAGGGCCTGAATATCGCCTAAGCATGGGTCGAGGGCCCACAATTTCTGGGGGGCCCCAAAAATTAGTAAAAAGTCTCATGATAGGTGGGATAGCTTTTTGGTAGTTTATGTACAAAATTAAAAATTATTACAGCTTACAATAAATAAAAAAAAATAATTGAGCTAATCAGTGACTTATAACAAAAATCACCGATTTCAATTGTTTGTGGTCACCAAACTATTTTTATTTAACATTGTTTTGTTGCTTTAATTTATAGATACGTAAACTTTATCTTAGAAAAAAAATCTTCAATTTTCTGCTTTCAAAATTTCTTAGAATGTTTTATCTTGAATCATGCAGTTCAATAGATTATTTTCTGATATTAGGACTAATTACTCAAAATATTACGTAAACTTCAGTATAATTTCAAAATATTTTGTAAGGGGCCTGTCTTGATCGGTCCCTGCTGGTGCTCTTTCGGTTAGCTTATTTATCAGTTAATGTTATTTCTACGTGTGAAATTTGAATCACGCATTTAAATACACTTCTTGATGCATTGAATTTATGCCTATAGTATCATTAATCCATCTAATGTTTTCGGCAATAATTGTTAATTATTTTGGGGGTTTTAAATATCCCAATATATTTCAGAAAATATGGGAAATTCGAATCTCGCTTTTGAATATTAATTTTTATCGTCACGATTCTGTCAATTTTTTGTTGTAATTATTGCTATTGATTTATCCTTAGTTTTTAAAATCCGATGGTATTTATTATATCAACCGATTCTCTAAACTAAAACTGACATTTAGTAACCAGTTTTTGAAGGATTCGTTTTGCTGTTGATCTTTTTCTCGATAGTTATAACTATGGATTTCATAATTTTTTAATGTGTGGATTATTTAGAAAATGCACAAAAAATAATAATTCATACGTTTTCTTCAGACACAAATTGGGAGAATATCGCCCATTTTAGAATAAAAAATATATAATTTTAAAAAAATTCTTTACAATTTTATTTTATCCGAAAAAGTTTTTTTTCTAACACGTTTCTATTATGTTAAATTAGTAACTTGTATGTCTGTTATTAAGAGTATTTGACAGAAAGCCAGATGAAAAATTCTGCCACAGAGATATTAATTGTAAATTAATGATTGTAAAATTCAATAAATGACAGAACATTAAAAATGCATTTAAATGAATGCATTTTTAAATTTTATAAAATAGTTTTTACTATAAAAATATTTCATTTATAAAATGCAAATTCGGCAAAAACAAATTTTTGATAAATTTTCATAGCGCAATTTTATACATTGTTTACACAAATTACATATATGCATCATAATTATACTCTTAAGGCTACAATAAAAGTAATATATGTCTTACTATAAAAATATTTAATCTTTTCAGCAATTTTATTTTTAATTACAGTTTTAAAATTTATATTGGCTATGTAGGGAAATATATATTTTCTTATTTAAATTAATATTCATGAAAATTTATTAAATTACTTTAAAGTGAATTTTTTTTTATCTGTTTTTCAAAACTCTTATTTATTTATTTATTTTTAAATCCTATTTTCTGAAAATTTTGGCTGCTGTCTCTGGCTTTGGGAACTTGGAGGACATTGTGACCCAAACATTTTAAGTTGCACCCGCCACTATTTAATAAGCGGGTTTCTTCGGGCAGCGGGATTCGAACTTTCGTTCTCACATGCAAGAGTCCAACGTCCTACTAGCCAGCTCATGCTTTCATCTAAGGTAAAAAATAAATTTTTAATATTAAACCTGTTCTCTATTAAAATAACTTGATTAAAATGTGAGATCTCACTTTCAGCTCTATAGCTTCTGTTTCACTGTCAAAATGAGGCGTAGATATTATTACATAAGCATTTTTTAATTTTATACTAAGTACTGTCTTTCAGATTTCAGGGGTGATTGTGAGCCAAACTCAAAAATCCTGAAACTGTCTTGAGGAAAATCATTAAGGAAGCTCATTTCATAAAATTTATATCTTTATAAATTTAAATCATTGATATTTTCAAAACATGAAACTCTTATGAAATTATATGCAGCACAATTTAAATGAATAATTATTTATAAGTTTGCTTTTTATCTCTAATCACATTTATTATTCTACTAGAAAAAAAATATTTACAAATGAAAGAGATGTCATGTATAAATTCTAGTCCTAATATTTTGAAATAAAATATACAAGAATTGTGAATATATGTGGTCGATGATTTCTCGAAACTTCTGGACCTCGGATCGCGATTAATGAAAAATCCAGTTTTTTTCTGGAGCACAATCATCTCTGAGATTTGAAAGGAAAAAAAAGGTCAAGTGATAAACACCATATGGGTAGTTCATAATCAAACAAATACACTTTATGAATAATAAACTTTATTCCATAACAACAAAGCAAGCATATTATTTTGAGGAAACAAAAAAAAAAGGTATGAGGTTACACTGCCAGCGTGGCAACCATTGATTCTTTGCACACAACACAAAACAGTGTTGGTAACAACACATGCAATAGCAAAAACATTGGTCCCACTTGCCCATTTTATTATTATTTTTACTGCAATCGAGAACATCAATTCACGATATTTATAATAAATGCAAATTTACAACACATACAGAAAGAAAAAAATTAATGAGATTTTTTTAATAATTAGGATAAAAAATTTAACTTTCAAGTGTCACAAAAATTTGTTGATCTTTTGATAGACAAAAAAAAAAATATAGTGTTAAAGGAAAGATAAGGAGTTGATTAAATATACTCAGAAAAGCTAAAAACCTCAGTCGCAATTTAGTCAATATAAATAAATTTTTGACAATATATTAATTTATAAATAAAAGATTAAGGAGATATACAAACTCGCCAGGAGTTTATCGGATTGAATCATTCCAGTTATCCTGCAGGGAGAACAATTTTTTTTTTCTTCTTCCAGAAATAATAAAGATGTCAATGATATATTGCTTAAATCCTTAACCAAAAATTATGATTAAACATATAAATTGACTTTAATTAAATTTGAAAATCATGCAGTTAAACCTAGCTAGTTAGAACTTAAAAATTATACAAAAAAAAAAATTAAGAAAAACTTCATAGTAGTAATGAGTTATTGATTTATAATTCTGTCAATGAAATTTATTGCAATAAGTAATTGTTTCATAAAAATTCTGAATCAAAATCAAAGAGAAAAAAAAAAGCAAGCTTAAATGAAGAGAAGCATTTAAATAAGGGTCAAAAAATAATTCGTTTAATATTCTGTATGACAGCAAACCAACTGAATCAGATTTCTAAGTACTTAAATACTAATAATCATATAGAAATAAATAAAAACCTTAATTTCTATGTTTAAAAAAAAAACTAAACTTATTAAAAAAATGTGTAATTTAAAATCATGCTTCTTCAAAATCCCTAAAAGAATTTCCATAGCAAATCAATAGCAATTTCTCATTTATCTGCTTACCATTAACAGCACTTCAATTTATTGTACTAAACACAAATGTTTGACTAAAAATATCAAAATATTTTTATAAGTATGCCAAAATCATAATTTAAATGTAAGAAAAGAAAAGTAGAAGAAGCCTTATAAATTGAGGACTAGGGAGAAATATGTTATTTAAAAACATGAGATTTTCAGCAATTTTTGAAAATTTTCCAAAATAAACAATGACTTCTTATTAATCCTATTTTTAACAACACTGAATTATAATAAACTTAGATATTACAGGGTGCATAGCCAAATTTTTCAAAAATAATAAGTACCTTTTAAGCACTCAAAAAATATTTTTCAGCACTTTAAAAAAATATTATAATTAGGATATACTAATAATTTTTTTCCCCTTCATATTGTTGAAAGTTCATATATATATGTTAACAAAATGCAAAATAATTTTCTAAGTTACTTGATCATGATAAAATAACTAGTTTCTGACAAAGAATTATTTTCGCGATTATATTAGCCACCATAAAAACAATTAAGCCCAATTTTAAATATATTCAATAGTGAGTGAATCATTCAATTTTTTAGATTAATATTACTTTACACAATTATATAAAAAAAATTTAATCTAAATTCTAAATAATTAAAATATTATTTAAAAAGCTCAGCATTCAAAACTCGCAAGTATCTGCTAAAATGATTGGAGCTCTCATTACGCTACAGATGCATGGTAAGTCGAAATAGATTGTGGTTGAATGAACCATGAAAACGTTGAATAGAACAATGTCAAAACTACGTATTTTGCAAAAATTGATATGGTAAAGAAATATCTCATTTTGGAAAAGGGAAAATTTAGCACCCTATAATAAAAACATATCTAATAATATTACGAAATAATCATCCAAATAGAAGTCATTTTTAATTAAGAATAAACACAATTTAATAGAATTTAAAAACAATTCAGATTATCACAAGTTTTTTTTTTAAATCTTCCAAATCAGAACAATAAATTTAGAAATGAAACTTCTTACTTTTAACAGCGCCTGAATGAATTTTAGAAAGGAAAAAATATATATAATTACAACACTTTAAACATAAAAAAAAAAAACCTAAAGAAGTTAAAACTAACTTAGATTTCCTTGATTCTTCAGAATTTTTTGAAGATAATCCACAACAGAACACAAAAATCAGTTAACTATGAAGAATTTACAGCATTGACAACAAAAACAAAATATAAAAATTAATGTTCTCCCACCAGAAAAGTTGATAACTGATATATGTCACGTAATATATAATTTCTAACAGTCATCCATCTCTCATATAAATCATAAAACACTGTCAATATATAATATATATTTATATATAATTCCTGTATTGGCCACATCAAGTCGACACAATTTAAATTACGAAGCTAAACTTGATTTTGAAAGAAAGAATGTTCCACGAAAAATGGCTTTCACATGTAAAAAAATAGGACAGGCACTATTGTAAGATATACAAGAATATTAAATTTTCACATTCAATGTAACATTGGCTCTTTTTAAAAGATTTCATTTTAACTTGAACAACATTGGTAAAACAATGAGAGTATATATATAAAGTCTTTAGTTATAACAGTCTTATTTTCTTCAAAATGCACTTTTGAAAAATATTTCTTTTTTTTTTTCTTTCACATTCGCAGCCATGGTTTTAAACATCTACTTCTTAGCCGAAGCATCCTGAAAAAAAAATGAGAAAATTATTTAGCGAAAATCTTTGTGAGAAAAATTTATGATAACTGGATCAAAATAAAATTAATAGGTTGCTAGGCTACACACATCAAAACCAATGTTACAAAAATGGAGTGAGAATTAAACTAAAAAACTTTTTTGTTGTTTGGAATTCAAAATCTAAATTAGCAAAGGATTTAGTTGTAATACAAAATATCAACAGAGGTTATTTTTCTGTAACAGCCACAGCTTTTTAAGCATCTTATTCAGGTAAAAATAACTTAGTTTTTTATTTATTTGTATTGATTTTTAATAATATTTAAAATTTAGTTTTCAAAATAGTAAACATATCTACACTTGGATAAATATAATTATGTAAAACTAATTAACAATTAAAAAATTAACTTTAAGATTTAAATTATTATTTGAATACAATTTTTTTTAAAAAAATGAATCCTTGATAACATTTAAAAATCATACTCAGACAATAAATTTTTTACTTAATCAAATTTTTCTGTTGTGTAATAAAATTGATCTTTATAAATATGTTAATGAAGAATAAAAATGTTATTGAAGAATATAACTTTTTGAGTAAAATGATGGATAATGCTTAAACTAAATGCTATGAATATCCAAAAGAATTACCTAAATACTAAAACTAATTGAAGAAAAGAAAAATAATTTTTAACATTTAGCAATATATATTATTTTTTAAAAACAAAGTTAAAAAAAATTATTTTTAAAATAATAATTTACATGAAACGTTAAAACTAAGTTATGTTTAATGACAAATGTGAGTTCTTGTAATATAAATTTATTTAAAAAAAGAAAAAATGCTTTTAAATCTATTCGGTTAAGTGTACGCAGTTCCTTAATTTTTCCATACATTTCAAAAAAATTATATATCATAATCTAAAAATAAAAAATTAGACTCAGAAATCATTTTGAATAATTCATTAAACTAACAACTGAAAAAAAAAATATTCTACTAAAGTGCAAATAGCTTAAGCATACAGAAAGTGCATCAATAATGAGCAAACCCTTTACTGTTCAAAAGTATTCTTACTTATAACAATGTAAGATGCATTTAATCTCATATAAATAACTAAAATTGGCATTGCATCAATGAGAAAATGAAATTTGTCAACCATCTATTAACCCTTATCTGAAATATTTTATTGACAAACACATGTGAAACTTCCTTGCAACAATTTAAACTCATCATTTTTAAAAAGCAATACTTGAGCGACCGCCGGCTAAGTTTTCCTCCAGGCAAAAGAGAAGTTTTACTGCAATTTTTTTAAAATCCCTGTAATTAAAATAAAGAGCTTTTTGTTGATCGTATACCTATCTAGCAAAAACTTGTCCAAACATTCTAGTTTTAGAAATTTCTGCATTTCATGAAGTTAACATAATTCAGTCTACTCTGTAGTCAAAAAGCTTTCTAATCTAGATATGTTTATTTTAAATCAAAATAAAAAGAGGTAATTATGTATTTTATTTTTTAATGCTATTTTCGAATTAAATATGTGTATTTTTTTATAACAATAAGCTCACTGTAACAACATTTTCATTTGTTTTTATAAATTGTCTTGATAGCGGACTTTTACAGTCAATACAGTTAACAATTATCAATACAGTTAACAAAATAAATTAAACCATAAATTAAGTAATTAAGCAATAATCAAACACATTTAACACAAAATACAATACAAAGAATGTGCAATGATTATGCTATTTTATGATTAGAAAAAAAAGAAACAAACTCAAAAAAGTGTGCTATTATTTTACATCCGCTGCAGGTCAAAACAACTGATTATTTTATGGTGAACCCAAACTACAGTTCATTTAAAGCCTGGCATATGTTTATTCGAATGAAGATGCAGAAATCTGAAATACTTTTGAACAGTATAACACTTATTTATAAATGATAAAAAAACAGTTAAATATTTGCTATAAAAAAAACCCCACAACCAATAGAAAAGAGAGAGGAGAATCAGGCAAGGAAAATGTTTTGGCAAAAATGAACATACCTGTCATTTTGTGCCTCCCCTAGGATGCAAAGATTTAGAAACAAACAGAATTAGAGGGAAAGAATATTTAGGTAAATTAACTTTCATTCAAATTGAATTCTACCAAAAGACTACATGCAGGACATCATGCAAAAATAAAGGGGTTTATCTACAATGGATGTACATTTCTTACCGATTTCTTTTTAGATTTTTCAGAACTCTTGCTCTTTGCTTTAGACTGGAAAAATATTATAAATGTTTGTAAGAGATGCGAATGGTAAAATTAATCAATGACTTTTGACTGTTATATTTTTTTTTTTAAAAAAGAAGAGAAACAGAGGTACAACTCTTATTGTATACTATAATGACAAAATCACACTAACTTCTCATAAATTCAAATTGAATAGCCCCCTATCAATCATTCACTGCATTTAAAATTTAGAGATATACAATAAAATAAAAAAAATTCAAACTAAATAAAAACTACAAGAATACTATAAAATAATTTTTCAACAGAAGTTTGATTGTTAAGAATCCTCAATTTTAAGAACAGCAGCATGGTGGAAATGTAGTCAGCATTGCCTAATTGCTTTTCTTAATTTTTAGGCAAGATAGTAACAATTGATCTACAACTAAGTGGACTTCAAATAGCCACCAGGACTAGAACCCCAGTCTTCACAATGACAGCTCAGTGCCTTAACAAAAATACTTTGAATATTATGAATGGAATTGTTAGCCCTGAATATGTTAATCTAATAATAGAATATTAGATTGAGAGCCTAAAATTTTATTTTAAATTCTTTAAAGAAATATAAAGTATGTCTTAGGTTGAACTTTAGCTCTCAATGGGACAATTGAAAAGTAAAATCTATGAATAGAAGACCATCATCATAGTAGGCCAGACAGCTCAACGTGGGCCAATGCCTTCCTCTGGAGATTTCTCCATAATAACTTTCGATTTGAATAGAAGACCACCCACAAATTTAAGTTGCCTTTTAGTTTGAAGGATTTCTAACACAGCTATATTTTGTAATTTTAAGGATCTTTAAAAATTCTTTTAAATGTCAAAGAATTCCTACATTATTTCTTAAGATAAATCGAGCAAGTTTATAAATTGTTGTCTATAAATAATTATAATTAATGTTGATAAATCTTCAATATGATACTGAAGATGGTTAAAGATTAATGTTAGGATGAATAACAGGTGGTTAAGGTTAATAATTAGTAATTGTTAGGTAAACATTCATGCACTGAATAGGAAACTAATATTTATCTACTAACCTCACTATTTGTAACAGAAGTCTGCTCACTTGCTGGTGGGCTTCCATTTGCTGATGATGACTAAAAAAAAAAAGTAAAAAGAGTTAGTTGATAAAGAAATATTCATAGCTATTATAAATTAGTCTGACACAGTATTGTAAATTAAAAAGTAAAATGTCAGACTGCCTGGTTCAGATAATAAATACGAAATATAACTGCATCCATTCAAATAAATATCAAAGTAAAAGGAAAACAATATATAGTGCAATTTTAATCCCCTTGTTTCGGTTTTATGCTGCAAGTTAAGATAAAACCATAGCAGGGATTTCAAGTACATTTAACAACTGCCTATAAGACAGAAGTTTCTCAAAACTCAAGATGTAGAAATGAGAGTGTATATAAATTTTTGTACAGTTTTCTCATAAACATTAGCAATTTCAAGTTTCTACATCTTAGTTCTTGCACAGTAAAACAAAATGTAATGTTAGGTTGCGCCATTTTCATATAGCCTTATAATTTTTTAATATAATGAGAAATATTGTTGAGTATTAATGCTCAGAATGAATTTAAATTAAGATGAGGTATTCAGTTTAAAATTCTGTAAAAGAATTTTTAAGAAATATGTAACTAGCTTTTTCTGAAAAAGTAAATTCGAAAAATTTAACTTTCTAATACAATATTAAATTTAATTTGGGAAAATTAGAGCTAGTCTTACAATATTTATAAATAGACATTTATATTGATCATTTTAGTTTTTTCCATTTTATACAGCTTTTTCCAGTGTCTAGTAAGAAAGAAGTTTTTACAAACAAACTGCCAAACCAGAAATGCAACGAATCATTTACGTTATCATTAATTATATCTATATACTTTTTTCTTATGTGGCACCATTAACTAGTACATTTCTCTATTGGCAACATTAAAGTTATTATCCATTTGGTTAGGTTGTCTTAAGTAATAATTTAGGTATCGTTATAAAGTTATAGTTCTAAAGCTAAAAAAAGTTTGAACTTTTTTTAGCGTTAAAGATATATAATTTTCCCCAGCTTTGCATTTATGTTGAATAATTTTGTATTTTTATATAAATAAAATCTTAGCTACTAAGTAATTACTTAGAATAATTTTAGATTCTTTCTAAAATAGCTGTATATATATA